AAAAAAAAAAAAAAAAAAAAAACATCTGGAGATAACCATATTGGAGCAAGGTACCCTAAAGCAGTGGTTCTCAGTTTTTGGTGTTTTAGGGTTTTTTGGGATCCAGTTCCCAGATTCCTGGCCAGGGCTTCTGGGAGCTGAAATCCAAAACTTCTGGAGAACCAGCATTTGAGAACCAGTGCCCTAAATCTAAATTCAGTTAGAGGTTGGGGGAAGAGAAGAAATAACATGTTGTGTAGAGTATAAAAGTAAAAGCAAGTTATAGGTGGAAATCACCCTCATGGGAATAAATCCCATTGAAATCTGTAGGACTTACTTCTGAGTAAACATACATAACACTGGGGAATTCATGTACTGTTTATGTCAGCCACCTGTTACAAGCTATAAAATTAGTTTCTGAGCTAATTGTGTACAAGTAGCACACTACAGTTATAGTCAACAACATTCCTCAGATAGCTACATTTATTTTTTCAATCAACGTAAGTACAAACTCTACCTCACCAGCCTCCTCAGCACTGAACAATTGAGCATTAATAAGATATTACACACTCACAGTAAGGTTGAATTGAAACGTGACTCTTTCTCCCCTTTCATCACCTGGATGTGTGAAATGACTACCATGGATCATTCTCTCTTAGTACATCAGGCAATTTCCTACACTATGGAAGGCACACAAGCTAATCAGTCTATGGGCTTTTGTAGACTGCTAGAAATAGTGCATATTGAGTCCACTTTAACTGCCCTGGCTCAGTGCTAGGGAATCATGGAAATTGTATTTTTTTTCTGAGACATTGAGCCTTCTCTGTCAGAGAGCTCTGGTGCCAGAATAAACTACAGTTTCCATGATTCCCTAGCACTGAGTCACGGCAGTTAAAGTGAACTCAATTTGCACTATTTCTGGAAGTCTGCAAAGGCCCTATGACATGCTTGCTAGTATTTGCATTTTGTAGTTCATCCTAAAAGTGAAGGGAATGGATTAGAACTCCCCACTTGACTTGCCCTGCTATGCTGGGCCATTTGGATTTTATTATTTACAATGCATTAACACTTTCAGACTTCCTAATACTACAAAGCTGCACCACATACTGTAATTATAAAAGAACTTGGAAAGAGAAATCAGTAGAGGGCTTTATGGGTAGATTCTTTTCTGTAGGGGAAAAAAAAGCCCATTAAGCCGGGATAGGGAATTCTGTGGTTCTGTTAAGCATGGATGGGGAGTACATGACTATTTTTGGACTGCAGCTCTCATTAGTTTGAGCTAGCTTAGATGATGGTGAGAAATGTTGGGTATTGCAATGCCACATCAGGAGAGATGCCTGTTCCTCACACCTGATTTAAAGAATTAAGATATATGTGTTTGAGGGGACAGGAGCTGAAATCCATTTATTAGCTGTAACTAGAATAGATCTATTGAAGCAATGAAAAACTTGATAAGTAAGCACTGATTATAAACCCCATTCAGTCAATGGCTCAGCTCTAGCTGCGGCTAACCCTTGCATTTAGGGCAGGGTTTATTGTTCAAAAGATATACAAATTGTATTTGATCTGTAGTGATTTAATATATGGACATTTGTAAAATTGTGATTCATACTGCAATATGCCACTGTGATATCAGCATCAAATGCACTGAATATACTTCAGACATTTGCGTATGACATTCTTGGATGCTGCGGTAGAGGGGAAAGAAAAGCTACTGTAGACATAGAAATACACTACCGCAGCTTGTTGTCTTGTGCAAGGCAGGTTCACCCACATATGCTCAGAGGGAAAATCCACCTGCATTGTTGTAGCATTGTCACCTATGGTGACACTAAGGTGAACCTGTCATGGGGTTTTGTTGGCAAGATTCGTTCAGAGGTGGTTTGCCTTTGCCTTCTTCTGAGCTGAGAGAGTGTGATTTGTCCAAGATCACCCAGTGGGTTTCCATGGCTGAGCAGAGATTCGAACTCTGGTTCCCAGAGTCATAGTCCAACACTCAAAAACACTATACTACACTGGCTTTCTAGTGTGAGGTAGTACACACCAAAAAAGGCTATACCATGTGATCCCGATTAATGTATTGATTGGGTCTTAGGAAAAAGTCCCATATGGCTACTTGATAATACAGCCTCTTACTGTTTAAAAGCCCTGGTGTTTGGGGGAGGGGGAATGATTTTTTTTAAGTGTTCATTGTATCAAATTACATTTTGAAAGATGCTGGCCTACTGAATTGAGAGGCATATCCACTTGTAAATATTTTTCTCTAAGTGACATTTCATCCAAGTACCTCTGTCCTCTTCAGGTTGCCAGAAGAATTTATCCAGCTGTGTTTCCATACCTTTAAACCAGAGTGGGATATCAGTAGCACTCCAGATGTTGTTGAACTGTGCTCCAGGAGACCAAGTCAGTATAACCAAGGGTGAGAGACTATGGGATTTTGCATTTGAACAACATTTGGACAGCCCTTTCTTTAAAAACAAAGGTGGGGAACCTTTGGCTCCCAGGCGTTTTGGATTTCAAGACCCATTAGTCTCACCCAGTATGGCCAAATAAATGCTGGAGTTATCCTCCAAACAATCTGGAAGGCTAAAGGTTCGCTAACCTTGTTCTAGCAACTGTGTGACAGGAAGAAATTTAACAAAAGAAGCTTTACCTGTCACATTTCCATGTCCTGCAGAAGAGAAAAAGCTGTATGTCAGTCTGCCACTTTCCATTAAAAATTGTAAACTTCCCTTTAGATAATGGCTATCTGGAAGAGATTCTGCAGTTCTGAGGGTCCTAAATGAGGGTGGAGTAAACTAGATGACATGAAGGTAACTCTCATTCAGATAGTTTTTTGTGGGTTTTTCAGGCTGTCTGGCCATGTTCTAGAAGAGTTTCTTTCTGACGTTTCGCCAGCATCTGTGGCTGGCATCTTTCTCTGAAGATGCCAGATACAGACGCTGGCGAAACGTCAGAAAGAAACTCTTCTGGAACATGGCCAGACAGCCTGAAAAACCCACAAAAAAACTATGGATGCCAGCCATGAAAGCCTACAACTTCACGTCTCATTCAGATAATCTTTCATTCTAATCTTAACACCAGGTCTTAGGTTTCCATTATTATCTGGGAGGATTGGAAGTAGCTATCCAACTTTCACCCACTTGGGGCCTTTACAGACTGCCAGAAATAATGCAACTATCTGGTTCAGTGCTAAAGAATCATGGGAACTTTAGTTTATTGTGGCACTAGAATTCTCTGACAGAGAAGGCTCAATGTCACAGAAAAAAATACAATTCCCATGATTCCCTAGTACTGAGACAGGACAGTTAAATTGGCCTCAAGCTGCATTATTTCTGGCAGTCTGTAAAGACTCTTGGTTTCATAACACATATACTTCACAAATTAACCGTCTAGCCATTTGACTGAAATATCTTAACTTCTCCTAAAATGTGAAATGCTATAGCCATTATTTATGATCTAGATATCTATGACCCTGATTTCTAAGGTGGAAAGGAGAACTTGGGCCACTGACCGAGTCATCTTGCTTGATAATGATTTTTGACATACTATGTTACACACGTTGCACTTCCAGTCAGTGTTATCAGATATTGCAGGAATGTCCCATTCTGTTTAGCATTTTAAAAATTTAACAGAAACCACAGGACACCTTTTTAAGACAAGAAAACCTATTTCAGATTTATATAAATCTCAGGACAAAAAAAAGTGATATTATACAGTGTACATTGTTTTAAAATGATGTTTATCAAATGGGACTTTACACTGCATTAAAATCTTTAATGATTCAGTACCATCAATACATATATTATTTGCTCTCGAAAGATATTACATAGTTTTATCAAAATATAAGTCTCCATATTTAAATAACTATTACACTAGTTAAAAAAAGTTTTGAGATAAGATGGGTGTATTTTGGAGGGTGGTTTAGTATTCTGACTATTCCACACTTTTTTCTTTTTTTTTAAGAGGCATAACTTAAATGAGTGCTACTGGAAAAAAATCCTTTTAAATGCATGAATTATAAATTGAATTACCTTCAGTTCTGCCTTAACCTAATATTCTTCCTCCAAGTGTCACTTTTTGTTAAAATCAATTTCAGATTTTGAGTTTTGCTCAGCTCACCTAATTGATAGCAATACACATCCATGATAAGCAGAAAATGAAATTGTTTCTGCAACACAACTCAATAGTGGGTTGAAGAACAGTTCACAGTGACCTTGCATGGAGGTGTACAGTTATTAAAAGGGAGAAAACACTCAGCGATGACAATTTGGAGCCTACAGTTTGCCAGGTAAGCACCACAATCCATCCAAGTCTTTGTTTATGATAAAAAAGGTAAGTGTGGGTGGAAGGCTAAAGAGAAATGTTCATTGGAGAACCTGTCTGGTGATAGCAGAATTATTGGGTAGATCACTGAAACATTGCTCCCAATTGCTACACATTACTTTTCTCCATAGAAATGAACAGCAGCCATTCAGCTACCTAGGAGAAAGGAAAGGGGCATCAGCCATTCAGCAACATCAGTGAGGTGGGAGCTAAAGCCTGTTCCATTCTCTACAAACACATTTGAGATTCAGTTTCTTGGTCACACTAGATTGTGACAGTGTCACTTAGAGGGGAACAGAAAGTTGTGAATTTTCCCTTCTGATCCCATGCATGTTCTGAAAGAAATTCCACTGTGTTTAATGGAGCTTTCTCCCAAATAAGTATATATTGGAT